GATCTTTGCTACACAACTTGGAGATGTTATGAGCCATATAAAAGTCAGTGTCTTTACATGGAATCTCAGAAATATCAAGGAAGCTATTCAGTCTGCCCCACTCCTAGATTCAAAAGCCGCTCCACATACCTCAAAGACTTGCTTTTTGCCTGGTGGAAAGAGTTTGCGGTAGAGAATTAAGAGACAGTTCTGTCACCTACCAGCAACATGACCCTGGACAAGAGAGCCACTTAACCTCTCCCTACTTCAGCCTTTTCACTGGGGAAACAGGGAAATTAGCACTTGATGCAAACTTGCATGAATGTTAGAAAACTAACGAGAGCCACCAGATCCGGGGCCCCGGAATGGGGCTGCCGGGACTGCTGCTTCATTTTAGCGATGATGACCTCAACACTGGACCCCGGATAGGAAGATACCCAGAAAGCATTGCAATTCAAAGACAATGCCAAAAGATGGCAAGTCATTAAAGATCTGGGAAGTCTACGCTGCCCAAGAGCCGTGCCTGGCACGTATAATTAAAACTGGTCCTGCCAGGAATCCAGGGCCGCGGTGCCGAAGTCCTCTACAAAGGCCCTGCCAGTGCTGCACCCCGGCGGGGCCAGGGTCACTCCCTCTTGGGGCAGCCCTGGCTCTTCGAGTTTTCCGTTTAAACCTGAACAAAATCCATCTCTCTGAAGCATCCACTTATCCGTCCCTCCGAAACCACCTGTGCCAGGCAGGACAAGTGAGGCCTGCACCGCTCGGTCACTAGCGGCAATGCCGTGGCTCGAGCCCTCGCCACACTCCTCTGCCCTGTCCCCTCTGGTCTCCTCCGAGGAGTGGGCTTCCAGCCCCAGCACCGCCCTTCCTGGTCACACCTGAAACCCGCCCACTGATCCACAGTCGTGGCCAAGCACAGCGCCCGGACCTCGATACGTGAGAGCGAGCCGTGGCTGGCCGGATCCTGCGACATCTCAGTCCATCATCAGACACGTGCGTCAATCAAGCCACCACGCTGGAAGCCAGCGTATTTCCAAAGATAAGAAATCCTCTGCTTCTGTAACTGACTACATTCATCCAATTCATTTAAAATTCTAAACATAAGGAAATTAGCCTGAGCCAAGAGCGAGGCCCCGTCTCTACTAAAAATAGAAAGAAATTAATTGGACAACTAAAAATATATAAAAATTAGCCGGGCATGGTGGCGCATGCCTGTAGTCCCAGCTACTCGGGAGGCTGAGGCAGGAGGATCGCTTGAGCCCAGGAGTGTGAGGTTGCTGTGAGCTAGGCTGATGCCACGGCACTCTAGCCTGGGCAACAGAGCGAGACTCTGTCTCAAAAAAATAAATGATCTCTTCAAGCTAGTTTCTGGCATCCTCTGCCTTACAGCGCAGAATTTAGCTACTGTTCTTCCGCATAGAGAGCCTCGGTGACGGGGAGCCACGCAGCAGGAGCCCCCACGGAAGGGACACCCCACCTCTGTGAGCCGCACTCAGCCTCCGTGTGGGGACGGAGTGTCCTGGGGCTGAGCACACCAGCACTGACAGGTGCTTTTCGCCTTTCCTTCTGGAACAAGTGCGCCCCAGACTCGGGAAACAGCTGGCACTGGAACCTCTGTGCTCGGTGGGAGTCCAGGAAGACGCAGTGTGCTGACCCCTCGTCCCCCGCAGCTAGCGGGCCAAGGAAGTCCACCCAGGGAGCTCGAGGGCTGCCGCGGCAGGCTGGGTGGGGCTCGGGAGCCTTCTGGCCCGTGCTTGTGGCACAGACCTCCCCGGGGCTTTGCCCCACGAAAGGCAGAGCGTCTCCACCCTGGGAACAGACCGTCTATAGCCGCAGCCGGGGCTCTCGGGCCCTTTGGCTTCTGGTTGGATGTGGCCGGGGCTGGCGGGGGTGGAGGGGCAGCAGAAGACCAGAGCGGGGAGAGCGAGGTCAGGGTGCTTCCCTGGGGCCCCCACCCTCCAGGTCACCACGGCGGGATGTGTCCCTCTGCTGATGGTCACAGCTCTGGAGACAGTGCCTGTCTCTCCACCGTGTCACACCCCTGGGTCCCACGCCAGACCTGCGGCCCTCCCTGCACCTCTGCAGACAGTCCTGGTGGAGACTGTCCTCTGCCACCCAGCCTGAGGGAGCCCCGGGTCCCCGGGACCCTGATTGGATTAGCTGACCTTCAGTGGCATTTTACTTTCTTACATGCTAAAGAGATTCAAATCTGGTCATTTCCTCCAACAGGGCATGCCAAAGCTATAAAACTCAACTACTTTACAGACAGCGTCTACAGAACTTTTCATATTGGTGTCTGCAGCGGTGGCTTCTCGGCACCCAGTCAAACCACAGAGAACACACTGGACCGGAGTACCTCGCAGGGGAGAGGAGCAGAAATGTTTTCTTATCATTAAGCAGCCTCCTCAAAAAATAAAATATAAACAACTGAATTTAATTTTAACAACAGAATGTTTAATCTGATGTTATACCTGCGGTCCCCAAACCCTGGGCACAGAGCTCCACCCCACCCCATGGAAAAACTTGTCTTCCTTGAAATTTGGGGGTCACTGCAGGAGGAGAGTGGCGGGTGAGCGAGTGAAGTTTCGTCTATATTTACAGCTGCCCCCCATCACTACCATCACCGCCTGAGCTCTGCTCTCACCCCACCCCCCAAATCCGTGGAAAAGTTGTCTCCCATGAAACCGGTCCCTGGTGCCAAGAAGGTCGGGGACTGCTGGTTTATATAATACACTTTTAAGGGATTAACAGTTACTACGACTATTAAAAATATCGTATTATCATTGCGTCTGAAATGACACGAATGATAGGGTATTATTCTGATTTTAGAAGTGTTAAAATGTGGGGAAAAATTATGCCTTCGACTACTGAAATACAGAGAGTCTCACAGAAATGACTCACGTATAGTCTGATATGTAACTTTTTGGAGGGGGAAAAAGATGATACATTTCCTCTTTTTATAAAGAACTCATTGCTTGTTTTCTGTCCCCAGGATGTCATGGCCACGATGTCACCGAGATCAGACTCCTAATGAGAGAGCGGGCGGCAGTTCCCTTCTGAGCTTGGCCTTGAACTTGCGAACATGTCACCCACGCGCCTGTCCCTGCTGGGGACCGTGGTGTGGTTTCTAATTCGGAGCCAGCCCGGAGCAGCCCGGAGCCTGCCTGTCTGCTGGCGTCACCGCCTGGGCAGGAAGACTAAGCCGCCCGAGTGACGGGCGCACGGCTGCTGCTCAGACAGACCCTCCCTGTGGCAGCCTGGTGACACACGCTGCCACCTGTCACCCACGCAGCGTAGGCACTCAGGAAGCGGACCCCGAACACCTCAGGAGTCCAAACACTCACGGTCACCTCCCAAAGCTCCGTCACACTCCCTGCTGGCTGAATGTGACAGGGTGTGACCAGCTGCCCAGCTAAACGCGCAACTGCTACCAACTTACGGGCGGGCTGAGCCTCGCCCACGCGCCTTCCGCGGCAGTCCACACAGGTAGGCGGGATGACCGAGACGTCCGCAGGCGTCAGAGGTGGACTTGGTAATCAGTTTCTAGCAGGTTGGGTTTTTTTAAAGAAAGCCGAAGGCATCAGCTGGAAACACAAAGACATCTACAGAAGACACTTATCTGTGAAAACGCGCACGTGGCCTTTCCCTAGAGGGAATCCCGCCCCTCCCCTGCGTGTGCGGCGTGCCGTGTGCTGGGCACGCGCTGCCCACCTGCGGACAGGCCAGGCCGCCGCCCGGTTCTGCCCCGGCCTCCGGTCAGGGAGGGGCGTGGCTCTGCGGGCGTCTCGGCAACGCTCAGCATCTGCGGCCAAATCCCCTCAGTGGGCAGGTCGGTGGCATCGGGGTGGGTGCTCTGACCCATGACCGTTATTTTCCGCTACTGCCGACATAGCAGAACCATCCTCATTCATCACAACAGGAGGAAATCGGCTTTTACTGGCTAAACTTCTTAGCCAGGGAGCTTACGGGATGGAATAGGAAGGAACGGGAGCAACGGGAAGGAACGTGGAGGAGAAGGGCGTTCGTTCCCGGCGAGCTACACGGGCGTCAGGAGGGAACAAGCCGCTGTCTCTAACGCGGCCGTCTTGCAACGTGCGGTTTACGTTCTGCACACTCAAACAAGCACAGCATTCAGAAAAAGAGAGAAGGAAGGAGGACGCTAGCACTAAAGGGAGGCCGTGAGTACGCGGAACCCTCGCCGAGGCTACGCTCTCGCCATTGTTCGTCTCGCAAGTAATAGTGCTCGCGAGGACGACAATGCCTTGAGATGGTGATTTTCCTCTGGAGCATTTCTTTAACCGGAGAGGTAAAATGAATGCAGTCAGTTTACCGCGTGCAAGCGCGCTCGAGCATCTCCACGTGCACCTGCGGCAGGAAAACAGTAACTCCACTTGAAGGAGCCACATCAGAAAGATCACGAGCGGCCGTCCCTGGGAATGAAAACTAAGAAAGGACTCAACAAGTCCAGAGGGAACGGAGACACACTGTGACAGCCGGGATGTCGATAGCACACCGGGACAAGAGCAGGTGGCAGGTATTGACAGAAGAGGCGCTTACCGTAGCACGCCGCTAAAAGCCAGAATTGAGGCAGCTACCTCGTTAGAGTTGAGACTAGCCAATACCAGAGATGACTCTCAAGTTAGAAGAGGGGATGGTTTTTATCGGAGTAATACGACAACGGCCCCCCTCGCCGGCGAGGACGCCATCGGCCCAGGTTGCCGAGGCCGGGCAAGGCGACAGGAGCCGATCAGGCCTGGGACGGGAACCTGGCAACACCACCCACCAGCGTCGATTGCCAGAGGTGAGAGGAGGGGCGTGGTTGCGTGATTTGAGAATCAGCCAGGGATGAGCAGGCTCCAAGGGCCCGTGTGCCACCGTGCAGACAGAAGGCACAAGAGGTGCCCTGCGTTGCCGTGCATCCGTGGCTTGGGGCTGGGGGGTCTGGTTTCACAGATTTGGAACATGAAACCCAGCACTCAGAAGTGTGGACCCTCACCCTGGGCGTCCCGGGGAAGCCTTACCTTCAGCGGTGCCGGAGAGACCGTCGGCCTTGAAGTTGCTGGTACTTTTCTTCCTTCGGTGCTTCTTTCTGTTGGCGTGAGGGGAGGGAGGCGGGTCGAGCTTGGGGCTGGTGGTGCTGGAGATGCTCGGGCTGGAGCAGACGGAGTCGCCCAGCCCCGTGTCTGCGCCGGACCGGAAAAGGCAAGAGAATGCAGAGGGTGAGCACGCAGAAAGCAGGTTTTGCAGAAACACCAAAGCAACATTCCTCCGATCCCACTCGGCCCCGAGGGTGACGTCCTGTCGCGGGACGGCGGGACCGGAGACCACGCGCCCCTCGCTCTCGTGCTGCCCGACAGTCAAACCCGCACTCGCTTCTACCTAGCCTTTTGCTGCGGAGAATTTAAAATTCTCTACTTCGCAGGACTGGAGTCTGCAGAAGGAAAGCCGTGAGTTTAGGCTTTTTAGTTGTTTGTTTTTCTCTTCCCGTAATTACCTTGATATCTTAGAAATAAAATAAAGACGCTTAAGGACAGAGAGGGAAGTGTCACCCCAAATAGGGTCTGATTCTGTGCGTGCTCAGGTAAAGCATTCCCGATTCCCTTATTCTCCTCGCGACATCGCACGTGACTGTAACTGTATTTCACTTCATTATCGGTGAAATGCTACATTCCACTTTCTCTCTCACTCATGTCCGGCAACAGGGTTTAGAAGTCACAGACCCGCCAATTTTTGATTCATTGAAGATACTGATAAAGGTTTCAAAACCAGTATACAAATGTGCTTATTCACTACAAGTGAAACCCTCGATTTATTATGTCTACTTTTATTTTTATCAAAGACAAGGGTGAAGTGGTACTAAATGACCAGGGATGAACCTGTAATTCAACCAGAACAGAAAACTACACCGAAAAAAATGATGAAACACGGGTGGTCTAAACCTCCAAAGCCCTGAAAATTCTTTACCCTCGCAATTCAGCATCTTTATCATTCAAAACACAGAGTTCTATGCAGCATATCGCATTCATTCCACGGGTATTTTCTGGGCACCTGCTGTGGGCCGGCAGCCCTTCTATGTAGATGCCTGGCACCCATCACCGACTGGGAAAGACAAAGAGCCCTGTCGGGGTGGCGTGGGGGGTGGCGTGGAGGCTGGGAAGCTGGGCAGGAGGGACCATTTTAAATAGGGTGGGCAGGGTAGGTTCTTGCTGAGAAGAGGACATTTGAACCGAGACATGACAATGACAACAGAGTGAGAAGGTCACTAGGGAGGTCTCTAGGGAGGGAGCAAGCCTGGTGAGTTCCAGACGCAGTGAAGGCTAGGGTGGCTGGGGCAGGGGTGGGAGGGGGAGGGCGGCATGGGCAGGAGACGGTGCTGGAGAGAGGAGGGGGCTCCTACGCTGAGGGAAAGGGGGAGCCGCTGCAGGGTTATGAGCAGATGGGTGACATGATTTCAAATATTAAGACGCTTGACATCAAACTGAATTTAAAATATTTTTACTTTGTGAAGTTCTAGAAAACGTTATCACGTACTGAGAAATGTAAAAACACACAGCTGAAGGTGTCTGAGACATGTATATGGTTTCAAGAACGCTCCAGATGTACCTTCGTGGCCATCCTAGGACCGGAGCTCCCTTGTCCCTCTCTGCACAGCGGGAAGGCTCAGTCTGCATTCTGCGTGCCCAACACATGTAGGAAGGAGACCTCAGGGAGCCTGGAGCTCCTGTGGGACAAGCTAGGCCCCCTGTGGGATAGGCTGGGCCTCCTGTGGGACAGCCTGGGCCTCCTGTGGGACAGCCTGGGCAGCACATGCTGGAGCAAGACCCCAAGACTGTGACAGCCGGGTGTGTGCCTTGGGGGTGGACCTTGCTCACAAAAGGTAGCAGTGCCGATGGCCATTTCAGGGAGCTGCAGGAACCGTGGCAACTTGGTGTTGTCCTAGTGACTTTCCTTCCACCAGGTTAGACTGGGCTTCATACCCGTGCGTGACCTCCGTCCTCAGATGCAGTCCCCATGCACACGGGCTACTGTCATGGTGGCAGGACAGGAGGTGGCGTCGATAGCAGAGATTTGGCCGTGTGCTTCCTCGTGTGCCCCCATGGAGGTCCCCCACCACCACCTCTCTCCAGCTGTCCTCTGCCCCATTCCTCAAGGAACAGCCCCCTCTCCTGCTCACACTGACCTTCCCGCCTGTCCTGGCCCCACCCCTGTCCTCTAAGGGATCTTGGCCAGGTCCTCCCTCTCCACCAGCCTTTCTGCCTGGGGTGTAGGGATGCCCCAAGATCACTCACGTTCATCCATCCCTCTCCCCACACCCTTTCCTTAACTTCATTCTTCAAAAAGGTATTTCCTTAACTGTAAACTACAGTGCTAACAGCAAAGTCTCCTATAGAAGCCACTGCCAGTCAGGTCCTGTTCTAAGCTCTCTGCATACATTAACTTAGTCCTCTAAACAACCCGCTGAAGTATGTGCTATTATTTTATCCCCTGCATTTTACAAACAAGGAAACCGAGGCACACAGGGAGGGTAAGTAACTCATCCAAGTCACAAAGCTAGAGTCTGGCTCCCGAGCTCACAACCTCTAGACTGCCTGCTCCAGAAGAGATTTCTATCTGGACAGGTGGTTCACACATCCGTTTTCTTCCTGACTCCTCGAAACCTGGCTTCCCTCGTCACTGCTTTACCGTAATGTCCTTTGTGCCGAGGCCAAAAGCCCTTTTTATCTTCCCGTTCCCTTAACTTCTTCCTGTACTGACCCCGAGATGCTGTCTTCTCCCAGCGCCCAAGGGGCCTTCTCGAGGTACACGACACCCAGGCCACAGGTCGGCCCCCAGCCTTGGCTCCTCCCTGCCTTGGCCCCAGGTTACACTAATCTCTTTAAGGTAGTAGTTCTTGCATATATTTAAAAAACACCAGATCCCACTGAATATCACATAAAAGCTATAGATATCCTGGAAAAAAAAAAAAGGCTAGACTAATTAAATTTTATGTATGATTTCACAGCATTTAGAAGCCATGCAATATTCCGGGGGGAGGTGGTTTGGAGACCCCAAGATCATCACCTGTTCCTAAAACAGCCCTTCTACGTGTTAGTCAGGGCGCAAACCCCGTACTGAATGTTTTTCTCCTTTCAAGCATTTCCTGCCCAGGTTTCGAGTCTTCACCCTCTCAGCCCCACCCTCTCTGTTGAGGGCTTAGAAGCCGGCTTGGTGCCAGGTGTGGGGCCAGGACACGGGAAAACAATGTCGCCGTGACCGTCCCTGTGCTCAGAGGTGCAGGCCCAGCCCTGGAGGCCGACGGGCAAGCACAACCGCCTGCTGCCCTGGGGCCGCCCTTTCGTCATTTCACTCTGTTCCTTGAATGTCTTCGGTGGTTCCCAACTTCCCTTGTGGCTCACGTTTGAACGCTCCATCCCGAACTGGCATTGCTCGTCCTGCAGTCCTGCCGATCCTGCAGCCGGGGCCTCTGCGTTCTGTCTGTCGTCATCTACTCTCACCGGCGTGGCCGTCCCCGGCGCCCACGTCCTCCGTGCCGACTCCGTGCCACCGCCACTGCCCAGTGGGCTTTTTGAAAAAAATCAGTGTGTACCAGTATTTCTTTCTAAGACACTTGGAACACATGCACACGCTGTCGGTGTGACAGGTTCCACACACGTGTGCCGGGCCCAGCGCTCGGCGCTCTGTTCTAACCCGTTATTCTTTTCGTCCATCTGTGTCCGACGGCTACGCTGGGTTATTTTTCACAATAGTCTCGGCTATTCTCGGTGGTTCTGAGCATGCACCTCTGTATACCCATCCGTGTCAGTAGAAGGATATTGACCAGGGTGGGTGAGGACGGAGCTTTGCACCTGCTCCCTTCTCCTCCATCTCTCCTGGCCGGGAGGCCCCAGCCTCATTCCAACCTCCGCCTGCTCTGCGCCCTGAATCGCAGGGCTGGGGGCAGCACCGCGCCGTGTGCAGCCTCCTCTGGACGAGGTTGCAACTCTCGGGGATGGGCCTGCCCTTCCGTCTTGCCGCGTTTCCGCCCTGAATCCATTTCTCGCTCTCCGGGAGGCTGTCTGCCCGCTGCTCCTCCCTCTCCAAACGCCGCACACCTCCCTCCACCCCCGTGGTGACCTCACTGCTCGCTTCACCGAAGACAGAAACCCCACAAAGGCATCCCCGCGAAGGCGCACCCCCTCCAAGCCCGTGGCCCCTGGGCTGGATCCCACTTCCTTGCTCGGACAGGGCCTCTGGCCCTGGCATCTCACACCCTCTCCGCTGGCACCAGACACGCTGCATCATCTCCCATTGTCAGCAAACCCTTCTCTGACCCCATGTCCCCACCCTGCACTGGGCGATGTCTGCCTTTCTTTAAAGCCCAACTTCCCAAACCCGCCCTCCTCACTCCTGCTCATGCTCCATCTCACCCCACTCCGGCTCACATCCCGCCAGCCGCCGGCATGTCCTGGCTTAGGCCACTGTGGCCTCCCCAGGGATGTCGGACAGAAGTCTCGGTGGGGTCGAATCAGGCTGGCAGCACCCACACAGCCCACCCCGGCCTCGGCGGGAGTTCGTGGGGAGGCCCGGTACTGACAGGTGCAGGGAATCAGGAAGTTCTGGGCCTCAGAAGCCGAAGGAGGGGGCCCCAGGAGAAGCCCTGCTCCACTGGGCGTCCCAGCCCCTCGGGGGACACTTGGCTCCCCGTGCACCTGTTTGACGCCGTCCGGCGAGCATGTGAGCCTCCTGAAGGGAGGCTTCGCTCATCCTCTTCCCCAGGGCACGTCCTGCAACGTGTTCGGGGTGAATGAAGGCAGCTCGATATACTGAGGAGCTGACCTCTGCCCGTGCTTACACGGGTGGACGGAGCCGCTTTTTGGTGCATAACAGAGGAATGCTGTCAACTTGGCGGCTTCGCTTTAAAACTAGCCACAAGCACACCTTTGGGCCAAACCACTGTCCTGTAAGTGCCCAGCTGTTTGGGATCTACTTTTAGGTAAACAGCTAAGTCCGCGAATAAAGCCTACTTGACAGGGAGAAAGTCCCCCCACATCCACCCCACACACGCACTGAGGGTGCCCCGCAGCGTGCAAAGGACGAAGGGCAAGCTCCATCCCCCGAGTGGTTCTAGGGAGCGAAAACAATGCCCGTCTGGTCTCGTGCTTGCTGCCTCCAGTGAGAGACTGTGCTCGTGGGCCCTGCTGCG